CAGGTATGAAATTGTTTTGAGTTACATGTAGTCTATTTAAAAGCTTCTGTGATTTCTATAGCAGCTAGATCACACGGAAACTGACCACCAGTAATTACTAAATACATGTTGGACTATTTACTGGTAGCAGTATTGGTATACCATACTGATAAAATTTCTCAGAGTTTCCAGAGGGGTATTCCAGAAAGCAGGTTATGTGAAAACGTAAGTGAACCCTGAGATGAGGGAAACTGTTTTTTTTTTTCCTGAATGAGAGGTATCTTAAACTCTGTGTCAATCACCATGGTAACTGAGTCTGGGAACCTAACCTACTCGCTGGCAGGTTTCCTTTCTAGAAACCCTAAGTCTGACGGAGCTGTCCGACAGGGCCTGTCCTTTCCTTCTCAACAGCATCATGTTGAAGCAGAAATAATTCACATAGTTTTACAACAAGGGGATTATTTAGATTTGTTTAGATGAGCTCTTATTCCCTGAGCCGAACTTCTCATCTGTCCGTCATTTATCTGAACAATATTCTCAGTCCGGCTGCACATCGAATATCAGGCTACACGTCACCGCTGACGTGCTCTCAGATCTGGACCTCTTCATTTTTATCACTTTGCAGCTTCCAGCAGTCAGAAAAAGAAGGAATCATTCACATTTCATTTGGCTCTTTATTTCCCACAGATAGCTACAAAAGTAGGCTTAACCATCAGCCTGCATTGCCTCCAACAACGCAATTTTCAATTTTCAATTTTTACATGTTTTTAATTTGCTGCTGCATTTAGGATAATATTAAATAACTTCTAGTAACTATCTGTAGATAAAAGTGTGTTGCTGCCTCTTGGGTCCTGAGTGACGCCCTCAGCCTCTGGTCACCCAGCGACCTGACTCAGGACCAGGTCCTCTGCCTCTGTCAGACGTGGTGGAGGTGGAGGTGACCACCACCTCTACCTTCGTTCACGTGTTCATTTACTCAGCAGGATGTTAGGAGACAGGATGTGTGTTAATCAGTAGGTATCTGTTGGTGGTAAAAGCTGAAATATCCACTGAATAAACTTTTACCATGTTTAACATGCAGAATATGAATAAAACCAGAGTGAGGAGCAATCACGAGACTGTTTTTATAGCCTATATTCAGAGTTTCACTTCACAGATTAAGTCAACTCAGAGTTCAGGGTTAGGCTTAGAGTTTGTTGAACCTCCTTTCTGGAATACCCCTTTGATGTACTGTTCAAATTACTATGGAATTATTACTGCGTGACTTACATTATCTCTTGTCTATTTGGTCAACAGACGCTGTTCTTCTGGAGTCTGTCTCTGGATGGTGCACGCGCCATCAGACGAAAGTGTAACAATGAGCAGTTCAGCCAAAAAAGGGGGGAACATAATGTGTGGGTGGTGTGTTTTCTGTACGGTGGGAGGCGTGCAATAATAAGGAATGGTTTTTCACTGTTCACTATTTCTCAGTGTTCTGTAAAGTTTATGTGTAATGTTTAGGTCTGCTGTCTCATATGGGACCTATTTTCTACAAGGTGTACTAAATTACCAATATTTGAAAATGTTTAAAACCATAATGTAAATGTTCATACAGTTGTTGTAAAATGTTAAAAGATAGTACACGTTTTTTGTATTTACAAATGTATTCTAATTAGGATATGGTACAAATACATTAAAGTATATTTTTTCACCTGGAAGTAGTCCCACAAGTCTTTCAGCTTTAGTATACTGGTAATACATTTTGCAAGGTAGAAAGTAATATAGCAAAGTATAAGTATATTTACTATTAACTGCAAAGTATTTGCAGTTTTTTTTAGTAATTGGAATAAGCCAAAAGTATAATTAAGCATATTATTAGCACAGTATGAATATATTTAAAGTATTAAAGCTTATACATTTTTAAGACACTAACAAATAATTTTTAATGTACTATATACACAAACAAAGTACACTTATTTTCTAATTAAGCATATATTTAGTACATATAAAGCCATATACTTAAAGTATACAAAATATACTTTAAGTTGTTCCACTTTAGCACATAAAAGTACACTAAATACACTTTCAAGTTGAGCTTTTCTACAATTTAATTACAATTAAAATACATTTAGGTACAAAAATTAGTTGTTCCAAAAATAGCATGCTTCAAGTTAAATAATCATGAACACACTTGAAGTATAATGATGATTAGTGTGGCTTCAAGTACCACAAAAGTATGCTAAATTTTAGTACACTTAGCACATTTATTTTTCAGCTGGGCGTCCTGGAGGTTTTTGTTTTTCCTAAAGGCTGCTATGAATCTATGGTTATTAAGGTGTCCTGGATCAATAATTTTTTGATGTAACCGGAGTAATTGTGATTTCAGGTAGGCCCCCTGTATGTATGTTTTGGTGGTGACTCGTCTTATAAAGCAGAGCAAGGGTGTCTTTCTTTGAAGAAAACTTTAATGTCTAATTTGTTTGTGTGCTGGAAATTGATCCCTTTGTAGGTGGTGGTGTCAGGGGAGTTGCCGGACGTGGTGCTGGTGGTGGACTTCAGCGTGATGGACGGATTGTGGTTGTTTAAGGTAAGTACAAATTGGTCAAATTCTTCCATAGAGTGGGGCCAGACACCCCAAATGTCATCCAGGTATCTATAATAGTGTAATGGCTTTTTGTTACAGGTTGCCAGGGCGGAGGACTCCCACTCGGCCATGAAAATGTTGGCATAAGCCGGTGCAAATTTTTTGCCCATGGCAGTGCCTTTAATTTGTAAATAAAATTTGTTATCAAATTCAAAATCATTCCTCCTCAGGTTAATTTCAAGGAGTTGTAGCAGTTCTTTATCAGGTCTTTTTTTGTCTGGGAATTTAGAAAAAATGTTTTTTATGGCCTGAATTCCTTCATCAATGTCAATGTTAGTGTATAAACTGTCAACATCCATAGTGAAGAGGATGGAATCGGGGGGGATCTGGAGTTTTTTGACTGTATTCACAAAATGGTAAGTATCCTTGAGATAACCCAAATGCCGATTAGAAAGGGGATTGATATAATAATCAATAAATTGAGCCGTGTAATAGGTCTCACTGTCACAGTCAGAGACAATAGGCCTCCCAGGTGGGATTTCGAAGGGGACACTCCATTTTGAGGGCTCTTTGTGGATCTTGGGCAGCAGGTAAAACAGTCTGGGCCGGGGGATCGGTTTGCCCAGCAGGTAAGTGTATTGTTTTTTATTTATGAATTTTTTATCCAGTAGTGATTGAATAATTGGTTGCACTAGTTTTTTTGTTTTCTGGATAGATGGGTTCCTTTAAGGAGCAGTAATATTTTTTGTCCGTTAGTTGTCTGTTTCCCTCAAATAGATATTGTTCCCTGTCCATAACTACCACTGCACTGCCTTTGTCTGCTGGTTTTATAATGATGTTTTTGTTTTTCTTTTAGATCCTTGAGGGCCTCAATTTCAATCCCGGTTCAAATTGTTCCTGATTGGGAGTGGCTGGAAATTATTTTCAAAATAATCGATGTCAGCTTGGATAAGGTCAGTGATTTCTGGTGGTAATGTAGAGAGGGGGGGGCTCCAATCAGATTTGTGGATAAAGGGGGTGAAAGTCACATCTTTTTTGTTTTGGAAATACACATGGAGTTTAATTCTCCTGTGATATTGCTGCAAATCCCATCTGCTCTGCTCAATGATGTTGCTCTGACTTCCCCTGGTGGGGATAAACGAGAGGCCCCTGTCCAGGAGTGTGAACTGGGCCTGGGTTAATTTGAATGTCTGTGATAACACTCGTACATTTTTTGACCCCTCCTGAGAGCACAGGCTTATGGGGATGAGCATTTTAAATACCCCGTCCAATGGTCAAACATGTGTTTGGCGGTGGCCTTTGTCCAGTGTATGTTGTCTCTGCCAGTTCCGAAGGACTTTGTGGGCAGTCTGGGGATGAACAGGCAGTTTTTCTGGATGTGTGCGTTGAGGTGGACCAGGCAGGACTGCTCTTTGAGAGGTAAGTGACGGGAATAATTAATTAAGGGCACCCAAACTGCTGCTTGAGGAAATTTAGCCTCAGCTGCCTCAACTGTGGCCAAAAGCTGCTGTGTCAGAATTGTTTTAGATGCAGCGTTTCTATTGTTTATACCAAAAGAGAGAACCAATTTCTCAATTTTGGTGGAGGTGGTGGCCTTGTCAATAAGCGCCTTAGCATGTGCTAATGTGGCCCCTGGGTAGCTCTCAATTTGTAGGTTGGTGCTTTCAAATGGAGGCATTTTAGCCAAGTTAGAGTCTCCAATGAAAGCCCACTCTTTGCCAATGCTAAGTCCCCAGTCCTGTAATTTATTTGTTGTGTTGATATGTTTTGTGGGCCTCCTGATGCTAGGCTCCTGCTCCAAGGGCCGTGCAGCCGGTCTGGGTCGCAGCGTGAGCCTGCTCTGTGTTGCTCTCCTAAGGCTCTTGAATTTGGCTGGGGTGGATTGGGCGGGGGGGGCCCGACTCGGGCCTTTCTGGGGATCCCCCAGGTCATCGTCCGATGAGAGGCAGGTGATGAAGTCTGCGCCGTGGCTAACACATGGGTTTGCAGGAGCAGCTGTCACCGTGGGAGCAGCCGTCGGCACGGGGGGAGGATTTTCAGGTGAGTTTTCCTTTACGTCTTTTTTTGCAGGTAAATGTGCAACAGGCCCTAGCCTCAGGACCCTCTGAGGTTTCGGTGCTGGCTGCTGAAAAAGACCAAGGAGGTCCAAAGAGGCAGATGATGATGATGGAGGAGGAGGAGAAGGAGGAGGGGACACTTGAGGCCTTATGGGGTCTGTAATATCAATAAGGTTCCCCTCTCCTAGAGGATTCCAGTCCTCAATTTTGTCCATCATGGTGGCTGGGTTATCCACCTGGGGGGTCTGGATTTTTTCGGGGGGGTGAGTTGGTGTTACTGGGGGGTGGACCAGTGTTTCTGGCACGGTTAGGTCCCTCTCCTCCCTATGTGTGTGAGTTTGTGCTAACACTGTGTGTTGTGTTTTTTGTTTCTCGAACACAGGTGGAGGAGGTGTGGGAGGGGGTGGTGGCGGGCCATCAGGCTTCCCCCCATCCTCTCCCTTCGTGTCAGGGTCGAGCTGAGCCACCATGAGGGCTTCAACCTGCTCCAGGGTCTCAGCCTGGAGTCTCTTCCCCAGGTGTCTTTTGGCCCAGATGGAGGCAACTTGAAAGGGGGCAAGCCAATCAAGTTTGGGCAGTGCAGACAAGGTATTAAACTCCTTATCAATAGAGTCAACGTAATGATCCCTGAGAATAAGAATTGTTGTATATTCCCAGTTTTTTGCATTGCTCTGAATAAGAAGTGAAGCCTCCTGGCTGGGGCTGGCCGGCTTGATTATGGTGGCCAAGTTATTTGTCAATTTGTGGATGGAAGGGGGGGGCTTATCGGTGGAAACATTTTTTAGGTGGTGGGCCAATGTGATTATTTTTTTCATAATTTTGGCTTTAATGCCAAAATCAGGATCCTCTGATTGTGGTCTGTTAACCTTTCTGTTTCTCTCCCTCTTTTCCCCGTGTGTGTTTTTCCCTGTGTTGCCTGTATTCCTCCCTGTGTTGTCTGTGTTTCTCCCTGTGTTAACTGTAATTCTTCCCGTGTTTCCTGTGTTTCTCCCTGTTTCCGATGTGTTTCTCCCTGTGTGTGCCTATGTGTTCTTCCGCTGTGTTCCATGTGTTTCTCCCTATGTTTCCTGTATTTCTCCCTGTGTTCCATGTGTTTCTCCCTGTGTTCCATGTGTTTCTCCCTGTGTTCCATGTTGTGTTGCGTGTGTCTCTGTATTGTTCGTGGCTGTTGTGCTGTTGAACAGGTTGGTTGTACGGGGCCCTGCGGCCTCCCGGTTTGTCAAAAAATTGTGGCTTATAGCCATGCTCCGTGGAACGGTAGCGTTGTGGGTAGTCATCCCTGCGTCCGTGTCCTCTAACTACAGACGCGTAGCTGGGACGCTGCCCTGTGGCCTGGTAGCGTTGGCGGGAGCGGTACTGGGCTGAGCGGGGTCTGGGCCTTTCTCCCCGGGGCCGTCTATAGCGGTCACGCCGGTAAGAAACCACCGTCCAGTCCTCTTCCCTGTTCTCACCACGCATATTAGGCCGTGGGTGAGTAAAAGAAAAGTTGTAAAAAATAAAATTGAAAAAAAATTATATTGTTGTAATAAAAGTTGGAAATATGAACAAGCTTTGAACGACGTTTCGGTCTAGAATTTAGACCTTCTTCAGGTTAGCTTGTTCTGTAGGTGTGAAAGTGTTGTAAAGTAAGTGTTCTCTGTCTCTATTCTTCCATGTAGTGTGCTCGAGCTGTGAGGAGCAAGTGAAGCAGAGGAGTGAGCAGGCTGAGAATTTAAAGGTAAGGGGGGGGTTTGGTGTGGCCCGGGGTGCCAGCTGCAAGCCGTTG